TATTGTATATATCTCGGTACGGGAAATTTATTTTATAATAGGCCTATATAATTAATTAAATCCCAGTTGGCGGGAAAAAAATATGAACATTTTTTTTTATTTAAAAATTATTATCCATTTTGACGGAAAAGAATGAAATACAGTGTGTCGAGCCCTGATTGCACGTATTTAAATGCGACCTGGAAAACTGAGACTACAACAACTTCCGAGGCGAAAGTCGAAAAGTCGCTAATAGCGTGATGTGTTAATTTCCTAATTTCTACTTTTCGAATGCATTTTGGCTTGGTATGCGTGTTGGCGCCTTCTTACTGACATCAATAAATACAAAAATATGACTAAGTCGAAAGTCGACAAGACGGTATACAAGCCAAAATGCAAGTCGAAAATAAGAAATTAGGAAAAAACGAGGGGCTCTATTATCGCAGTCTGTTATCTCTTAATTTCCTAGTTTCGAGTTGATTTTGGCTTGTATAGCGTGTTGTCGCCTCACATTTTGTCGTAACTTCTTCTTTTCGACTTTTAGACTTTTCGTGTTTTGAAGAGGTGAAAAGTAGAAATTATGAATGGTAGTTATAGGCTTCGATAGATCTTCCTAAGTTTCACGGCACACTAAGAAATGCGAAAAATCACGTGATCCCAATTTAGTATTCACCGGTGTCTACTGATAAATACATAGCTGTGTTTTTCTTTATTCAGTTTGAGTCATTCCATGTGTCTATGACTAGTCTCTGTCTATGGTTGTATGCCGTCTGCTACCCTGTTTTTATTTGGCAAAATTCAAATATTTTTCTATATATTTAGCCAGGTGTGCCGCTATTTTTTCATGTGTTTCAAGGTGTGCCGTTGGCAAAAAAAGTTGAGAACCACTGGTTTAACTAATAACTAAACAATATTTAAAACTATTTCAATTTTGGATCAGCAGCTTTTGGTGATCAGGTGATAACTCTGAAAGCATTGTTGTCATCGTCAGAGCTATCAGCTAGTGGTGACATACCAGCCATTGTGGAAGTGGTGGTGCGTGGAATGGTAGGGGTTCACAGTCAACAACTGTATTTTGGCAATATTACCGAAGAAGATATACTTATTGTTCTAAATAAAAAGGTAAGCTATTTTTAAATGCTTTACTCCATGAATTAGCAATGATTAAACTCTCTGAGCATACAATGTTTGGAGAAAGGATATAAGTCAATGAAAAGGACAATGAAAAGTAAAATTATGATAAACCCACGTCATTAAAAGATCGCTGAAAAGTCCATGGTTGTTTATTGCATAATTCTGAAGACTCTTAAAAATATTATGACCACAGACATTTTAATTTTGATCAATCGCAAAATAAAACCAAAAGCCCGATGCCATGCTTTTATTTAAAATCAATGAACAATTTATGTAAATAATGTTACTTGTGCATTATTTTTATAGAAAATTCTGAAGACTCAACTTTCAGCTAAATTAGTTTTACCTGACCAAGAAAGTTCCAAACAACCAGATGACGTCTATAGTGTGGGTAAACTTTTGAGACGGTATGCAACAACCCGTCGTGCCTGAAAGTTTACAGGTTCGGTTGTATAACAGGCGCTTTAGTTGGTGTGAGGAATTAGCCTCTGAAACGGTCTGACGTTTGGGGCTAAAAGCCGGTCGTATGACATCCAAGTAAACCTTGCCAGATCTTCATGTAGTGTAGGCTATCGAAAGTATAAAAAACACGAAACGAAATATAGATCTGTATTTTAATCAGATTGGTTTTAATAGTTCGTGTGTGTTTCAAAACTTAGTCATTGTTGTTTTTATGACGTATCATATCTACTCTTTTATTAGGAAGATACGAAATGTAAAGCTTACACGATCATTACCGTTTCAAATGAAAACGGGTGGACTAAACACTGATCATTGGGTCATGCCATTACAATATGTACGCAAACTACTACTAAATTGTGACTTTAGAGCAAGAACATAAACTTTTAGATCTATTCCTAAGTTATGATGGCATGATGTAACATACCAAAGCTTGTTTCAATATTCATACGTTAAAACAATATAATGTTTCTAATTCCCACTTAAAACAGATCAAGAGGGGGAGAGAGAGAGGAATGTGGTTTAACGTCCACTCGACACAAACTATGTCATTTCGGGACTAACATATGGTTTAATTTTATTTCAATAATTCGCGTAGGGATCTTTAGCAGTGGGAGGAAACCGGAGGACCCGGAGAAAACCTACGAGGTTGGACAGGCGACCCTCCTTGTCACGTACAACCGGGGATTCGAAACCAAGCCAGTTAACACATCAAGAAGATTTGGGAAGTGAATCTATATTTGATTAATTTGATCTATTGTATAAACAAGCAAGGGTTGGGCCCAATTGGAAAAGACAATTGGAATATATTGTTTTGAAAATAAATAAAATTCTTCTTCGTATCCACTGAAAAATATAATGGCCATAAATCCGAGTAGGAAAATGATCTGTGCGTGGGTTGTTTGAAAGGTGAATCAGGCAATCAGGCCAATTTCGTCTTCTCGTCATGCTACGTATTCTTCAACGCGACGATTGCCCAAGTAAACGAGTTGGTCGGAAGGCCCAAAGCTACCCAGTGCGTCTCTGGTCAATAAAAACTACTGCGATATCAATGAAAATGTAAATATTTTAATCTTATCAAGTATCACTATTCTTTTTGTTCGGCACCAAATACAGTATTTTATACAACACTTCAATATATTATTCTTTTAGTTAGGCTTAGCTCTTTTATTAAGAAAGGTTAAATCCGAATTAAACTGTCTATTCTTTCTGAACTTAAAACGTAAAGATTAATATGTATATATGCATCATAATTATTTACACTGCCATTACAAAATAATTATTCAGTAGATCAACGCTATGGGAATTTGCTAAATTTATATATGTTTATAGTGTGAGTCTCTTTCATTCCAGCCTATAATGTATCGGATTCAACCATTGTGTAACTAGCTGTAAGACTATTCGCGTAATGTACTGATGTGAAATCTATCGATTCACCATTCTGCAATATTATTTCATATACAAGAAGATGACCCCCACCACCTTTCTTCTTAGGCAAGACAGAATAGACTAGAATGACTGATACATGTTTAATGTTTATTATAGTGTTCAACACCACCCGGGTGACCAAACGCCTCCATTTTGTTTTGCTTTTTCCACGGCAATTTCTAAGGGTGTTGGGAAATTTGCTTTAACGTAACTTTGTCGGTATTCATTTATCCTTGCTGTAAGATTTTGAACGATGTCAGGATAATCTGCAGCAAGATCATTTAATTCCCTTGGATCCTCTGAAAGATAATGCAAAGAACCCGAATTTAATATACAAAAGGGTGTTTTTGACTTAATTCCAGTGTACCAATCGAGAATGCCATAATTCTTGAATTCTGTTTTACAATATAAAAAAATAAAGTGGCGAGTATTATAAGATGATCGAGTAAGGCATGTCTTCTCCGAGACATGGTGAAGTGGTTTGTAATGTAATTTGACTATACAGCAGACTAATTCCAGTGCTGGTGATCGTAGCCTCTGCACTTTCAAAATCGCTTCTAGTAGTCTAGTTTTTGTGCTTTCATAATATTTAATAGTGGTTATATCTATATATTTAAATCAATAATACCTATAACATTGAAGAGTCTTGCTGGTGAATCTCCAGTATTTGGGAAGATGTAGTATGTAAGGGGTGTGTCTTTAGTATCATTCATAGGTTCATACCATCCGTCTATACTACCTGGATAACCCAGTAGTAATTTCCAGTCACCCACTCTAATGGGAAATAAATATTATCTATTAATATCATCAACAACCTGCCACTTACTAAGTTACATAACATCAATTAATATTATGAAGAATTCTCCCCTTACACAAGGATATCAATATTATATCTTATTATCACCAACAACTCTTAACTTGTCAATGTACCGCATTGCAATAAAATTAACCAAACTGGACCTCAGCTGTCACGCATTAGGTGGCAATATAAAAGTCTTGTTTAAGCAGTTAATAAAAGAATAAACTTGAAGAGCTGATGAAATGACAGCACCAGAGTGGGGGTGGCGCATATTCCAAAATTAATGTATGTTCTTTTCGAAAAGAAATAGTTAGCCATATCGTTGGCACCAACATAGAATAGGCCTGAATGGTGTGTAACGGACGAATTTGAAAATTTACATTACTCTAGGTTTTAGAGAAGAACCAAAGATATCTCGGGGCTAGTACAAAGAAAGGTTACATGTATATGGTCATGTTAACTAAATATAATTGTTACCTTATACCCGCATGGCCCTGTGTTGGAATATAAAAATCATCTAAATTATAAATAAATTCTGTTCTTTTAGAAGGTTGATTTAATCTAATAGAATCCCATTGGTTGATTCCATCAATACCAGGTACTGAAAATAAGATCAAATACAGTATAAATTACTAAACTAGATAGACGGCTTAATACAAGCTAAAACACAATTGTGATGTAGTACACGACATTGATTTAACAAGAATGTGTATATATTCAGATGTTTATTTAATCTAGTGTGGTCAGGTCCATGCCAGAAGTACGAATTTTGGTTATACGCTTTGAATTTAAATCACTCGGTATGGCGACTTTGGTGATGACCATTAGCCAAACGTTGCCTTGTACTCATTAGCATCTGTTTCTGAAATATGACCATTTATCTGAGACATCCCATCTGGAAGATAATATGATTATTAAATTTGTAACCTTTTTATATAGTATTACTCTTAATATCCGTAAGAGCTCATACTTAACAACTATTTAAAGTATAGTATCGCAACCTCACCTTGTTCAGCTCCAGCAGCACCAATTAATGTTGGCATCCAGTCAACAGCGTGTAATAAACTGGAATTAAAAGCGACTACTTTAATTATCATTTTAAATATCCAGCTTACCCGAAAGAACATAGGTTCTTATCAATTTCAAATATTATTTGTTAGCTGACCGAAACTAAGATGTTAAAAAATGATTGCGTAACCACTTACCCAGTATGTGTAATGCCAGTTTTTTGTAAACCATACCCTGACATGAAAGACGTCGCCCTTGTGCCACCTTCCCATAATGTGTGTTTTCCTCCTCTTAGGGGCCAGTTATTTCCATATGCAATCAGCTCAGCGCCATTCTTTCAACGGAAAATATACAAAAATAACCATTAAGGGAATTTTCCAAGGAATTGCATCTACTGTTTAATGATATTCATGTCTTTCCAATAAGAAAGCTGACAAATGACATACATAGTTTAATTTTAAAAAATAGGCTCAAGAACATATTTCAACTGGTAACCACTCTCTTAACTTACTTTCACTGTACACAAATAACATATACATGTAACAAAGTTCAATTAAGGGGTCTCTTGTTTAGCATTTTATAAACCGGGCTTCCCAGGGATCGATGCTTTGAACCCCTGTATTTTGTTTACTTATAAATGAAATAGGCTTCAAGAACATATTGTAATATAATACTAGAACACTTATTATGGATACAATCACTTGGTTTATTATATTTGTAACTAGTACCCAACCTCTTAACTTAATTTCATTGTACACAAACAACATATAAAAATCAATTAATATTATTAGGTGTGTAACACCAGTTACAAAGGGTCCCTTATTTAACTGTTTATAAACCGAGCTTCCCAGGGATTGATGTTTTGGCCCCTTGTATTATGTTTACTTATAAATGAAACCTTGCTTATCATTTAATATCCTACTTACATCAGCTGTCAATAATATAAGTGTATCTTCATACATTCCTTTATCTTTAAGTGTTTGTGTTATATTACCAATAGCTTCATCTAATATAGTTACCATACCTGTATAGATTGTAAAAAATATATGACATTTTTTATTATTATTATTTGAAGATGACCGTGATTGTATTAAATGAAAACGTTTATCTTTTTTATTACTTACCACAGAAATTTTGCCTTCCCCAGTTCTTGACATACGGATACATATTAGCATACTTTGGAGGTACCTAAAATACATTTACTTTAAAATAAAAAGCATCTACTGTACATAGGGCTAACTGACGTCACACCATACAGTCTATCCCAATAAGAGTGTGAAAATTATATCAAAATCAAAAAAAAATTATTTTATAAAATTTCACAAAGTGGAGAGTTGGTGTCATGTATCCCACCAAGAGCAGATATACTCTCTTCGTGTAAGAATCCCTTGATTACTGCTAGATTATTGCTCTGATAGAATCTAAGATGTCGAAGGTATCCTCGGGACAATGCCCCCCCCCCCCCATTTCACCCCAGATAACAATATGAAAACTTCAATTATTATTCTTTTTCTATAAAACATGTAAAGTTGACCTTTTTGTTCAGTTTCTGTATAATGACATTGTAGCTAATAAAACGAACGACATATTTGGATCTAGATATACATCACAAATCACTACCAACACCACGATTTTTTTCATTGGGGGTGGGGGGGTCCCATAGCCAAATATAATGCGGCTGAAGCTGCTCTTAGATTTAAGCATGCTTAGGTTTGAACTTTACCTTGCTGAGCCTGTTTAATCAATGTTAAGACCTTGCAGAGTATGGATAGCCAACCACTCATTGGACTTAAGCTGTAGTTATTTTTTAAATAAACTTTACCTCAATAGGAGCATGTACATTCTGGAATGGTAGATACATAAATAAAGGCTGTTCTGCGTTATGGTTAGTTATTATCTGTTGAGCTCTCTCGGCGAAGAAATACTAAAATGTTAAATAGAATAGTTCTTTAGTTTTACCGGTGTCTTTTCTAACTTTAAAATAGACGAAAATAGATCTAAACGCCCAAATCAACGTAATATGGGTGTATATAAAGTGAATTACATTAAATTTATTTAAATTTATTGTAATTTCTAATCATTTATGTTCGGTGAAATACGTAAACAAACCAAATCGAACGAAATTTGTTTGCGCCTGCTTAATCCGTTATCCACGTTGTTTATTATTATTATTATTATTATTATTATTATCACGAATCAGCCATAGTATTATTTCCGCAATGTCGTCTGGGATGTGTTTTCTTTTTTCATTACTCGTGTACATATTTCAAAATGCCCTTTGTATCTTTAAATATTTGATATTAGGATCGCATATTTTCAGGGCAAGATAACAACATCAATTGTGATTGAAATGGACCAATATTGCATTCTAGATCGTATTTTCAATTTAGAATATTGAGTTAGAGATTAGTCTCCTTTAATGCCCTCTTATATTATGTGCTCATAACATTTAATGAAACAATGACTAACAAATGGCCAGCAAATAAAACGTTTCTGACAGCCAGATCTTGTGAGTTAATAAAACTTACAGCAGAATATTTACCATTGAAATTCCAACCAGGAGTTTCATTGTCATGAAGATCATAATACCCACCTGAAATAAAAACAATCAACAATTTACAGGTGATGTAAGAAAATACACATCACTGAGGATCTTCTCTACTGGCACTTACAGAGAACTCGCTGTGGAAAATCACGGCGTATTTTTCCTGCTTGCACTCACAGAGAACTCCCTGAAATGGGTGGGATAGGGTAAAATGTTGTACTTTTTGACCCAGACATTCCAATTTTAAAGGACCTATTCTATCACATATGCACTATTGATGCATGGCAACGTAGTCTTTTATAGGCCGCATGTCCACCGTAGAGTCGCCATTGCCTTTCATTTAAGATTCATGCGTCCATGTAGTTTAACAACTTTAAAGTAGATGTTAATGTACCTTTACCCTCAAAAATACATAATGACGGTAATTTGACGCCATTTGCGTTTTTGAGTCTTGTACTTTAAAGGGACAATAACACTCTTGCTGGCTTGACAGCTCAAGAAAATAAAAAATAGTCTTATTCTAAGTACTAGATGTGTTAGTGTCCTACCTGTTGTGTAAATTATTCATTAAATCCTATTTTACTTGTCAAGAGGGTTCAAAAATATTTTTAAATCCAAGTAACATTTGAAAAGCTTTACGTCAGGCTTTTCAAATCATTTAGTTTAATTTTTTTTCAATTTTTTAAATTAGATGTGTTAAGATGAAATTTGTATCATCAATTAATTGGAATATTGTAAAATAGTACAATTTGTTGACCAGAATAAAGATTGGTGCATATTATTCAGTTACAACAAGAGTGGTATTGAGCCTTTAAGGGAAATGTTTGAAGTTTAATTCTCACACGTTGAGTATTTTATGAGACATATTGAGTTTGGATGATTACTCAGTAATTTAGCTTTTGTATAAATCTGAATCCTACTCCAACCCACCAATAGTATGTTTATAGTAATCTTCATCAGCATTATAATACCCTAAATATGAATCAAAACCTCGGTAAGTTGGTGTACAGTTCCAGTTACAGAAACCAAGATGCCATCTGAAATACAAAGATAAGCTTCAAATGGGTTATCAATGCGATGACTCGAAGTAGAAATAGTTTTGTTTGACGTCATTTAGCGCTATATGAATACATTGCAATCTACAATATGAAATTTACTTACTTTCCTATTATATGCGTGGCATAACCAACTTTTTTTAACTGTTGGGGCAGTATTGTTAGGTTTAAAGGAAGACACACATTTTGCTTTGGTCCGATAACTATATGCTAAAAAGACAAAAACTTCTAATGTAGACTACATATCATAAAAGTAGCACGGCCAGGATTTTTTTAACATTTAATGATAGAAGATAGTCATTTCACAATAGTAATACGTTGACTGATGTTCCGATAACTCCGCCGGGACTTCCTGACAATTAACATACAATCTAATGAATTGGTTTAAGCCTACGATTGTGAATTAAATTATGAATCATAACTTAAACACAAACACACGCCTACAATTCTACAAAAATCTACAAGGATACATCAGTCTCAACTATTATACGCTCGGTATCTGGTATCAACTGGAATCCAAGGAAATATCAATAATGTTAACTTTAGTCACTCATATATCACAATTAAATAAACCTTAAAAAGGCGCACTTAAATGTCTTACTGTTAATGAATAAATATATGGTTACCTGCAATCCAGTTTTGAATGGATATATACCTGACATAAATGCTGATCTTGATCTAAAAATAGATCATAATAGATATTCTAATATGTAACTTACAATATAAATAAAATGGGTTTAACGTCCTATTGTTCTGCACCGAAGGGGCATACGCCATACAGTGTGCTTTGAGGGAAATTTTGCCCGGGCAGCGGCACTATGGCCTACTCTTCTATCGAATCCTAACTGCCAAGGGGTTTTTCACGTACACGCCAATGTATACACGGTTCCTCGGATTTTCTTCCCATCCGAATAACTAGACAACTGTCCTTGTTAGGCCCTCCTTCCTGCACTACCGACAAGGGGAAACCGCGTCGGAAAATCCCGATGAACTTTCTCGGCCAATGCATGGATCAACTTACAATATAACAATTATTCTGCTGTACTCATTTATGTCACTAAATCTGCATACTATAAATACTATTATTCAATACACATTGATTTAACGGTAAACTTACGGGCTACAAACCGGCAAAACGTAGGCTGAATCAAATATAACACCTGCATTAGCTAATTTATCTATATTAGGTGTTATCATATCAGGATTTCTAAAACCCACATCATTGAATCCTGTAATATAATATAACATCTTCATCAGCTAATTTATCGATATTAGGTGTTATCATATCAAGATTTCTGAAACATACATCATAAAATCTTGCAATATAATATAGAAATTTTCTGTACTTATAGCGCCAGTGGTCATTATAAACACTTAACGGCAAGCTCACGCCAATTGTCAACGATATCACCTTAGGTGGAAGTGGGCGTAAAACTCTAGAAACGAACGAACTCTCGCCAATCTGATTAAAATTATTCGACATATCACTTGAAAACACTTTTCAATTTTTCAGTGACAGCCTTAATCCGGTTGATTCGCCGGTGACGTCACAGGGACCACGCATACAATATACACTATTAAGGTCGTATCACTATCCATACACACCACCAGTCGACTAGTGTGTATTGACTGTTTCATTAAACATGCTCACTGACCTAATCATTACCCGGTTATAATTATCTACGTGTAAGCTACAAATCACTATAATTCAAAGCCTTTTTAAAAGCTGACCTTTCTACTCTTGATTGTAATGGATTACATACTTTGACTGTTTCAATGATTCTTACAATGACTCATTATCTTTGTGTTGTTGAGTGTTTTGGAAATTCCATCAAAGAAAATGTGCATTATGTGCCGTCGATTCTCGGTAATGACATTTTCGATCATGAACATATCACATACAACAGTGGCAACGAACATCAATCCCGAACGAACTGTATTACACCCAGCTATTAATTTAGATAGGAAAAAATTCCAAGCAAATTACATTGTCGGTGTCAGATTAGATGAGAACAGTATAACGGTGTGAGGAGACGGTAGGACAGATACTCCTGGCCACAACGCTAAGTTTGTATTTGATGTGCAATTAGTTCAGGTAAGTCTCAATTCGTATTTATCACGTTGCAAAGTAAAAAAAAGAATATTATGAGGTTTGTGTGAACCTATATCTTAATCTAGCCGATATACAAAAGATAATTACCTAATCGGCGTCGTTAATCCTGCCAGCACTTCTAACATCGAAGTGTTAATTAATTTATGTCTGTGCAATCTTTAGTCGGTATTGATTACTCAGAGATTACCGATACGTGTAGACTTGCACAGATACTTGCATTAATACACCAGTATAGTCTGTTATTCAATTTAGTTGGTTACCAACAAAATTAATTAGCCCTGTTAATTCTAAGGTAGTGAGACATATTTCTTATATTCCAATTTCATTTTAGAGTAATGAAGTCAAATCCCGCATCCACCCGCAGAATGATGGTCTCATTCGATGACTCTAGGAATATGACATACAGTTGGCTACTCAAATCGGTAAACGGATCCGCGAAAACCTGGTGAATATGATGCACGTCTTCGATGTCTGGCACGAAGCTAAAGGTAAACTTGTTTTATTTGTAGCTTGATAGAGTTTGGATCATCATAAAACATACCATGGACATATCAAAGTTGACTTTTATGTCAGACGTTATCTTGGAAGGCCGTTGGAACGAAGAAGTTTCTAAAATAAATGTTAATTATAACATAAGAATTATTATTGTTTCTTCCAGGTTTGAAAACAAAGTTGCCGACACTGTGTCAGCATCAATCTCTGGATTCCAAGCATAAGGAACCGTGCCTATTAGTGAGCTGCGACCAGAGACGAAGACGATTCGACGCAGTTGTTTCGTCAATCACATCCAGAAGTACTACCACGAAACCATTTCGTTTCGTAAAAGCTGAAAATTAATTATCTCTTGACTTCATTGATGTTCGTAGCGCCGTCTTTAACAATTTTGCATCCTTCTAGTTGTCTTCATAGAAAGAAAATTATTATACAGGTTTACTCTTGGCTTACTCCAATTTATTCTGATCAAAAGGACACCGAGAAAATGGCTACTGTGACTCTCTCTGTTATGGTATGATAAAACAAATTCTAAATTGGATCTTAAATTAAAATAAATTACGAAACAAATTATTCCGTAGTCAATTGTTTTATTTAATTAGGGGATTAAGGAATCATTCAGGCGTTAATGAATACACACCCAGGCTGTATATAGGTAATTAAGGAATAAACATTCCGAATATCCAATCGATCACTGTGACGTCACTGGTTTCTTAAGGGATTAAGATTGTTTTCGCTAAGTGGCAAAGTCGTTTTTACGGGAGGCCTATATTTGCGACTTTGAGTGAAGATGGTTGATTTAATTTTAATCAGATGTGTGTGAACTTGCCGTAAAGTGCATAGAGCCCTGGCTACAAGTACAGAAATTTTCGTCTGGTAGTCTTATGTATACTTTAAATATACTTTTTAGGTTACAGATTTTTAAACGACCAACCTATAAAATATCTTTATAATCTTCAAGCTCTATTTAGCTTTAGCTAACAGGGTAACTATTTAGAATCCCCAAAAATATATAACTTCTGGATAATGTACAGATACCTGGAAATACAGCAACACTTGGATTATCTGAATTTCTTAAGAGATGGGAATATGAGAAAGAGAAACGAACTGCTTCCCAGGCACAATATCTATTCCCATTACAACGTACATGTATTTATAATTTCAAATTGACCTTGTTAAAATATGTTACTCTATCTAGAAAAATCCCCCTTTTTAAAACCAAAGTTTTATTTTTGTGAATCGTGAACAGGGGATATGACAACCCTCTAAAAATAGCCCATTCTATCTATGAAAGTAAACCGCGGACAAATAATTTTATGAATACCCAAGTTCTCGATTATATTGGTTTTATGAGGTGTATATTTTATTCACCGTTGCCGTCCAATTAACTAAACTGCATATGAGTCTGAAAACTAGTGAATACGCCATTACAGAAATGACACAAAAAAGATCGACGGCTATGGGTTTTCATATTATTGTATAAATAAAGATAGGCTTACCTAAATCATCAGCAACAATAAAGACAATGTGTGGTCGTTTGGCAGACACCAAAAGGCATGACAGAAAACAGACAAATACAAGAAAAATAATGTTTCCTCTAGCCATATTGAAACTATCAATGCATCCACTGTAATACCATACGTGGATTTGCGTAAAAGTACAGCAACTAACAGATTTTTATAGTAGGCTACTGTAATAAAATTATCTTATCAGAGATTTTTTGTAATATCGTACCCGTTGATATTTATTGAAATTAATAATCTCTTATCAAATGATAATGAAAGCTATTATCTTTTAAAAGAAATTTTGAAAGACTTTGATCAACGTTATCATGTCAAGGTCTTGTCCCATGGCCATATTATTTTAAGAATGTGACGCCTGCAAAAAATGAAGTGAATATCAATAAAATAGTGACATTATCAATAAAGTTATAACAAGAAAACTTTTTGTAAAATCCCAAATGGTTTACCAGACGGGAGATCTCCCACAGATCTAATGCTAATATGAAATAATTTCCAGTATGCACCTAAATATACATCAACTACAACAAACATGTTGTTTAACGTGGCTTCAGACAGACGCAAACAAATTCCCATAAACAGAGCTCGCCCAGGAACATGGTTTCTATTAGGATGAAAATGGAAAATGTATGCTATAATTATATCTTCGGCAGCTCAAGCTGTCAGATTTACCATGACGTGAACTGGATCATATTTATCGAAAGGCTTCGTTGATCAAACCGGTTTATTCCTATATTTAACACATCTCTTCTGGACACATATGCTGTGTCCACAGATCAACAACCAAACTATACGTATACGTTTTTTATGAAATAAAGGGAAGAACTTCCCACTAAACCTACTCCATGGCCTAAGGCCGCAAATGGAAAGATTGCAAAATCATATTCTAAACACAGAAGGAAGCCTTGGCTCTCCTATGTCTTGTCTGCGATATCACTTCTGTGGAAGCAGACGTTAAAGCACCAGGTAGTAGTAGTAGTGGACACATAACCATTTGTCACCATTAAGACTATGGAGGCCACTACTGCTTCTCGATGTCTTAAACATTCCAACCTCATTTCAACCCAGATCATAAATTCATCAATTTTCCGAGTCAATAATTTCATTGGAGATAAAAGTTTAGCAGGATGGTCGTGCATATCCATATGTGAATGTTTGGCGGTTTTATGCCCGGTACACGATGTCCGGTCCACATTCTCCAATGTCTGCATGGCACGCGTAACTACAGAAATAAAAATTATCTGAAAACGACTAAAGTATCACGATAACTAACCATTAAACCCAACCCCATCCTACAGCATTTTGAAATCAGACTGTCATTGTGGGAGAATGTGGTTTCGTTACCTGAATACAACTTCTTCTGTATTTCTGTAGAGTACGTGGCTAATATATTTGTGGGGGGGTTTTGTGGCTTTTTTGTTTGTTTGTTTGTAGACTATCTTATTCAAACAACTTGGCTGGTGACTGCTGATGCCCATAACCCCGAGTTTGCCCGGCGGAACGATTTACCCAATACTACCCAATACTACCCAATACCACCCAATACCACTCCAATATCACCACATACTACCCAATACTACAACATAATGGTGCCAAATGAGCATATTTCAAAAATAGTGAGATATATCGTGGGAAATGTACTTCAAATGTGATAACCTATGTCTGGCTGTTCCATTTGCCTCCCTATATCACCCAAATCAAGCAAATAATAACCCAATACTTCCAAATACTTATCGGGGGGTTGGATGGCCGAATGGTTAGCACGTGCGTGCTGTATCATAAGGCCTGTCATTGAGTCAACTGGCGTGGTCTCGAGTCTCCGGTTGTACGTGACAAGGAGTAGGGTCGCCTGTCCAACCTCGTGGGTTTCTTCGGGTCCTCCGGTTTCCCCCCACTGCTAAAGACCCCTACGCAAGCGAATTATTGAAATAAAATTAAACCATGTGTTAGTCCCGAAATGACCTAGTTTGTGCTGAGTGGACGTTCAACCCCATTTCTCTCTCTCCAAATACTTATCAAATACTACAAAATACTACCCAATATTATAAAATACAAAACTAATATCGTCAATTAGCAGCACATCAGTATAATAATTGCGACGAATATTCGATAATTTACAGAAAATTGAAATATTTACGCAGTTACCTCCCTTTACAACTGACAAATAGAGTTTAGATTGCTATGCTACTCAAATTAATCATCTTTTTGGGCTTGTTTCCAAGACGACGAAATTAAAATAAGGAAAACAGGTTATTATAGATGCCTCCGCTATAGTGTTATAAAATAAACAGCCAAACATCCAAATAAAAGAGTATTTTAGGGGTTGATTTAAAAATGTTCATTTAACGGTCTCGTGATGTATTCAAAAGTCTTCTTGTACTATAATTATTTCTTCATCCTGGTGATGTTAGTATGTCTACACGTGCACTCGGTCCTGTAAAAAATCATTTGGGTATAATATGTCAGGAAATCACACGAATTTATCTTTATGTCTGTCTTTTAATGACTTATTAAAGGGACAATAACACTCTTGCTGGCTTGACAGCTCCAGAAAATAAAAAAATAGCCTTATTCTAAGTACTAGATGTGTTAGTGTCCTACCTGTTGTGTAAATTATCCATTTAATCCTATTTTACTTGTCCAGGGGGTTCAAAAATATTTTTAAATCCATGTCACATTTGAAAAGCTTTACGTCAGGCTTTTCAAATCATTTAGTTGAATTTTTCCAATTTTTAAAATTAGGTGTGTTAAGATGAAATTTGTATCATCAATTAATTGAAATATTGTAAAATAGTGAAATTTGTTGACCAGAATAAAGATTGGGACATATTATTCAGTTACAACGAGAGTGGTATTGAGCCTTTAAATAACGCGTCTTCTTTGTCTTTTAAATGATTCCGGTTCCATACCAGGCGATATTGAAAAAAGGCCTCTTGTCAAAATTTCACCGATTCTTCGAATATTGTCACTATTGAACAAATTCTAAGTATTCTACGGTATATACCCTCAGGTGACGGTGTCGCGGCGATGTCATTATCACCTAAATGAATAGACACGGTCTCCAGTTTCCTCCCACAATGTGTAATGCTCTACTCGTATATACATTCAACCTGACTTAACAATTAATCAACCGGGTTAAGATTGTTGATTGGGTAATCAAGTTCTGTTTTATTTATATTATCAACTCTTACCCCACCCACACCTTCATACACGGATTCCCGTTAAATTATTGTTTATCTCAGATTAATATTATTAATACATTGATGTTTGTAATTAATAGGATTTTTTCCTCCTTTTAAGCCTGTAAGAGTTTAGGCTGTGTTGTGTAAGACTATTGGTAGAAGTTGTGCTCTTTAAATTAATAATAAATTAATAATAGCATTATATTGTATCTTTAACTAATTATTGGATTCACACATTCTATAGAAAAGATCTCTCGCACTGAAATGATGAGTGACGGGTTGACAAATAAGGACTTATCAAACCAAAACATAGCTGGTTCTATATGTCAACAAAATATCACCAGATCACTCGTGATCTGAAAATTCCGGTTACGTCATTTGGCTTAAGTAACCAATCATCATAATTAATTACTAACATTTGACCAATTAGATAATTGAAACTCAACCGAAGGCTAGCAAACTATAACATCTCTGGGCATTCGATAGACAACCATGTAGTTCTTGGAGAGCATAGACCGTTGAGGCTCGAAAGATGCCAGCTGGATTCAGAATGCCCCGTTAAGTCGTCAGTAAACGCATTCTACGAAATGGAGGGGTTGAGAGAGGAGAGAATAACTTTATTGTAATCCTTAATAACAGACAGCTTTATGGATGACATTAACTAGGTTTATTAACTGCAACGTTTCAATGAGGTCACTCTCACCGTTATCAAGCAATTAAAAATTTTGTAATCTTTATTTGCAATATGGAAATTAAGGGTTTAATTATGATCAGTTGTTGTTTTAGCATGGATTTGTATATTACATCCCCCCTTTAAGGGTTTCTCATTGATTAATAATAGTTTACTTAGGTATGACTTTAAATGGCTTCGGCCTTATTTTGTTAATTAGTTCATTGTTATCTGTTTGTATATAACCTTCTGTAACATGTTGATTGTATCATTGCTTGATAACGATGAGAGTGACCTCATTGAAACGTTGCAGGTTATAAACCTAGTGAATGTTATCCTTAAAGTTGTCAGTATATCCCGTTCACTAAATGCCTTTCAAAGATATTGTAATCCTTGTATCTTATGTAGCCAGTGCTTGTCATAAAATGTAAAAACAAACTGATGCGTTGTTATTCCTGGTAGATGAACGTCTTAACTACTGAGGAGATAAACGTCTTAACGGCGGAGATAAAATATATCTACAACGTGAGTCCTAAGAAGAGAATAAGAAACAAATACTATCAGAGACAATAATAGATGATCACAAGGCTAATAAGATATACTGAGCGCCATGGAAAACGCACCACTTTTTTCCCCAAATATTTTATTACTAGGTGGTTTTGTATGTATAATATGCAATACTATGAACTATTGTTTCACACAATGCTCCCAAACGCAAAAAATATCGGCCCATGTGCAAAAAAAATAAAATTGCATGAGATGCACATGAAAAACCCAATATCCACGTGCAGCATTGTGTGTGAGCCCTTTAAAAGCATGTTTTCAACTTAATGTGCAGTACATGAACTGTGAAACGTCAATCTGTCGTAATTTGTTGTTGGACGTGTGAAGGAATCGAGCTAGAGATGCCGAGACTTACTGAAAATCAACGGAATGAAGCCATGGGAATGTCCAGGGCTGGCATGTCTACACCCTAGCTATTGCCAGACACTTCAATTGTCATCAGTTCACTATTGTAAGGTTGGTGGAACGTGTTCGAGTTACTGGATCAACACGTGACCGTCAACGTCCTGGTCCACAACGCGTTACAACCCAGACTCAAGACCGCTACATCCGGGTCACTCATCTGCGTGACAGATTCCGCCCAGCGACTCGAACAGGCGCAGCAGTCGTCGGAAGACAAGGACCAGTAAGTGCCAACACCGTAAGACGTCGTCTAAGAGAAGTAGGACTCCGTGCACGACGACCTTATGTTAGAGCTATCCTCAGGGATCATCACCGTCAGCAGCGTTTGATATGGGTTCAAGGACATCAGACATGGAGAAGAGTAGACTGGCAAAGTGTGCTCTTCAGTGATGAGAGTCGCTTTCATCTTTATCACGCTGATGGCTGTCAACGTATGTGGAGACGTCTTGGGGAACGTCTTGCAGACTGCTGCGTCTTCGAAACGAATCGATGGGGTGGGGGAAGTGTAATGGTGTGAGGAGGCTTCACATTTCATCACCGGACCGCCCTACATTTGCAGGGGTCGCATTAATGCTGTAGCCTACCGTGATGATGTCTTGCAACCAATTGTTGTTCCGATGTTTCGAGCGCACCCACAACTTCAGCACTTCCAACAGGATAATGCACGTCCGCATACCGCCCGTTTTAGTATGGACTACCTGGCTGCTAACAACATCAATGTCTTGGACTGGCCAGCCATGTCTCCGGACATGGCACCGATAGAACATGTCTGGGATGAGATTGGACGCCGTCTGTATCGGAGACCACAGATGCACACCATTGCTGCTTTAGAAGCTGTTCTTGTCCAAGAATGGAACAATTTGCCCCAGGCCTTCTTTCAAACATTGGTAAATTCCATGCGACGTCGCTGTACAGCGTGCGTAAGAGCCCGTGGAGGACACACGCGCTACTGACATCTGTGTCGTACTTTTGGTTTTGACCCCTCTGACTTTATACCGTTGATTACAGATTAAACATCCATAAGTGTACAAATGTGTTGTTATTGATGTGTTTCCCATTTGAATATTGTTCACAATAAGAAGCAAAATTTTGTTATACGAAAAACTAAGTGATGCGTTTTCCATGGCGCTCAGTATATGTAGCAGAGAAGAGAGTGTGTGGGGAGTTTTGTGCCTCGTGGCTTTCCCCATCTAACCAGCTACTAATAACGCACAGCATAGTGTTACAGTTGGTTTAGTTGTAAATGACCATCTAATTGTATTTTATTGTTATTTTTGTTACATATTCTTCATATATTTGTCTACTATTCACATATTTGTATCATTTGCTTGATAAAAACGAGAGTATTCTCGTCGAAACGTCGCTTCGTATAAAACTCAGTAATTGTGTATCCATAAAATTGTATAACCTTATTTTAATGCGTGACTGTGTTTATTTAACGTCTTCTTTCACGGGGTTAATGTCGCAGAAGAATTCACGGATAGAATTAGTGTTGCTATTTAAGTGATTTTCTATTCAGATGAAACCAAACTAAATATATTGAAACGAAAAATAAACTTATTAATTCTATTGAAGTATCAATGGTAATATAGTCGACATGTTTAACGAACGTATCAGTCTGTGATTATTAAATGTATATAGCCTTCATTTTGCCTTTCATGGAATTAAAGAAATATTAGTAAAGAAATATTTCATCGATTTGCATGCTAAAGAACATATAATTTTTGAAATGCACCATCTAAGATATCGCAAAAGCCTGTTTTTTTATTCTAAACTGACTGAATTTTATCGCGGTTCTTAATTTATAGGAAGGGATCGGTCAAACAGTTGGATGGGTCAGAATGGCGCATGATTGTAACAAAAATAATTACCAAATTGACATCATTGATTCTCTTAACATGGGTTTAGCTAATAATAATAAGGGTTTTAACCCATAAACTGTGTGTTTATACTCTAAGAAATAGTTATATGTTAAAGGACAATATTGGTGTCAGCCAATATCACGACATGTGTGATAGAACTTGTTAAAGACAATGCATAAATATTAACACAGAGATTATTGCTGTGGTAGATGCGTAATGCTTTGCCTATTTGATGATGAAAATTGTGCTACTATAGAAACATATCAATATATATTTGTTTAACGTTTGTATACAAATACACTTGTCTCATTTGTAGGAACCGGGGGATCACGCTGCTAAGCGGGTAAGACGCTGGCTCGCTAGCCTGGAGGTCGGGGTGTTCGATCCCTGCATTGGCCGAGAAAGTTCATCCAGATTTTCCGGCGTGGTTTCCCCTTGACAGTGATGCAGGGCGGAGGGCCTGACAAGGACAACTGTCTAGTCGTTCGGATGGGACGAAAAACCGAGATCCCGTGTACAAATTGGCGTGCACGTAAAAGATACCTTGGCAGTTGGAATTCCATATAAGAGTAGGCCGTAGTGCCGCTTCCCGGGCAAAATGTCCCTCATAGCACACTGTATGGCGTATGCCCGTCTTCATTAGCCCAGTTTAGGAGCAAAACAGTAGGACGTAAAACCCCATTTCATTTCATTTACTTGTAGTAACCGAAAACAGGCTAATTCCACATGTTGTTCAAATCTGACCAGAACTATAGATAAATCAACATGACTTAAGTATATTTAAAGGGCTGTTTATAAACTATAATTATCGCTTAAAATGTGTAAGTAGAGAATTAATAAAAACAAGGTAATGCACGGACGTTTTCTATTTTTCTCGCGTTCTCTTATCTCGTTACATTCAATTCTTTGTTATGAATTGATAGTTTCAAACAGATATACTCCCACAGTCTAATATTTCGTCTGTTATCGTTCTAACTTATGTTTTCCTTTGGCTTGTGTCACTTTCGGTTTCTTCAAATCTTTGTTACGCATCTACCATAGCAATGATCTCTGTGTTAATATTGTATTATTTGCAATGTCTTTAAAATAAGTTCTATCACATATGTGATAATGACTGACACAACTATTATCCTTTAAAAAGAAGATGGGATCTACGAGTGACCCGTTTTTTGTACGGGAATGATTGACAAGCAGTATGTAAAATATTTTATTACATTCCATTACATTTAATCAATCGATTACCATTAATGTTAATACAACCACGCTACCAAAATGAAAATATAATGTCCAGTTATTTCTGTAAAATTGTACAATTCATTATATTTAGTCGATTACCATTAATGTTAAATACAACAATAAATACAATCGAAAATGTCTTAAATTAAATGTCCAGTTATTTCTGTAAAATTTATATTTAATTAACTGATTAAATTGACTAATAGAAACTTTACAACAGCTATGATATAACATATAAATATATTTTAATCCATAGTCTCTAAATATTCCAAATTAAGTCTCTCTCAACCATCAGCTCTAGCTGGCTCTTGTGGGAACCAACTTGGGGATCACTCCATCGTTGCAGAATGATGTCTAGCAAAGCTAATTCGGCATTCTCTGCAGAAGAAATAATCGGGATGTGATGAAAACAAGCCAACGTCATCTATAATATTTGCTAAAAGTCCTTTGATGTGCCTCTCTTTAATATAACTTAATCTAAGTCGGGAGATTATTTACCATTGATATTTGGATTTTGTTTTCATAATTAAACGTTAAATTATCACTCTGAGTACACGTTAACGTGGACTGAATCGTGACAAATTAATGTCAGGGTTTACGGCAGTTTGCTGCATACAGTCTTAAAATTCTGGACACAAGCTTTCCTAAACTGTGTATATCATCTAGCTGGCTGTGACTTGTTTGATCTGGTAGAACTATTTTGGTAGTAAGCTGGGTATTTACTATTTTCTGAAATATAATTTATTCAGCATTAAAATGACACTACAAATGATTCTTGTATATGCAAGTCAATGCGTACAGGGAGCAGTGACAAGGGGGGAAACCACGCCAGAAAATCCTGAGGAACTTTTTCGGTCGGCCAAGACAGGGACCCGAGACCCGTCGGCTAGTGTACCAGTGACTTACTCACTGAGACACTGCGGCTCCCACTTCTAAAATAAAATATATTTATCATAAACTCTTTTACTGACGTAGTATCAATACCCAATATCGAAGTGATATAAATACCATAATAGCGAAGTAATATAGAAATACCCCTTAGGACGTTAAACCCCATTTCATTTCATTTCAGAAATAGACCTTCGCGTCTGGGAAACGGTAAGAATAAATCCAAAAGTTCTACGATGAAACGTTATAATTCCCAATAATCTTTTCGTGACGACCATAAAGCGTTTTTACGGCCAGATTGAAGTCTAAGTGGGCAATCATGATGCTTCAATGATTTCAAAGTCAAAAACTGAAGCGGTTTTCCTAAACCTTACAGATCTGACATATTCAATGGCGACATGGAACCCTATACGCTGTATATATTGGTCTTGTATTTAATTCAAAAGTGCTAATAAATATTTACCCCATTCTCCAATACAACCAATATATCATCTTCGGTGAAACTAGCCACAGATAGTTGCTGACTATGAACTGCACATAACCCACGCAAAATCATTTCTGTAATACACAGCATTCCATTACATGTTAGCTGCGGTGATGTCAACAGAGTTTTTAAAGGTGTCGAGTGATCAGTTAACCGTACTGTTCCGAAATTAAGGTGTGGATTGTCCCACAATATCTGCAGTTTTCGTAAAAGAGCTGTGTGAAGAAAAAAAAAGTAGTTCGATAAATATTGTATTTGGAAGATTATTACACCAAGATAAGTATCAATTTCGACCACGTTTCTCAATTTTATTCGCTACAATATTTTTAAATATCACTGTATAAATATAATGGATTTGTCATATCGTCGTAGTGTGCTTGGGCGAAAATAGCAGAAACTTGGATAAGTGTTTGGTGTAAGCTTGCTTTTCATTGAAATAGCGTGTTGCATTACATAAATGGAAATATTGTATATATACTACATAACAACAAAACAATATAGCCTACTATTACCAGTAGATTCTGTTTCCGTTCCTTTGCTCTCATCTCTAGTTGTCGTCTTCATTTTCTGTCAAAAAAGACGGTGATTAGTTACAGGGGTGAGTTCTCTTAATATTCTTTATTTCTGTGTAACTGTTAACAGTACTGACATTATCAATCGCCGATGCACAAATTATTGGGTTTCAAAGAAGTTTTGACCAATCAAGTATCTAAACACCCTGCTTGACGGGAGTAGAAAATACTCAATATCTTCATCAATCAAAGTAAGAGGGTCACTGTCGATCGAAATATGTGTGTGTGTGTGTGTGAGAGAGAGAGAGAGAGATTTCGGGACTAACATATGGTTTAATTTCATTGCAATAATTCGCTTGCGCGTAGTGGTCTTTTGCAGTGAGAGGAAACCGGTGGACCTGGAGAAAACCCACGAGTTTGGACAAGCGATCCTACTTCTTGTCGTGATACAACGCGCACGCGTTAACCATTCGCCACCCCCACCCCCAACCACAAGTAAGATTAGAACCATACAATACGAAATATACGTTCTATTAGATTGTACATTAAAGATACATTATGGGAGATTAGATAAAGAGTTGGCAGTTCTCACTATAATAGTTAAAAACTAGATAATATAACCGGAATTTGCTGAAAATTTCAGTCAAATTGACCACTCTGAACCGAGAATTTAGCGATTGAATTTTGGGCTTAGCCTCGATCATCATTATTAAAGTCGGTACGATAAAATACATAGTCTCGATTATCCATTTCTTGATTTAATCATGAATGAGCGTAGAGCAGCAGATCGGATCCTAATCCAGTAAATATCGCAGGGTAGCGATGACATCGAGAGTTGATTATGGCCTGGATAAGTTGATTAATGTCTAATTAATAATTTAGATAACATTTCAGGCCCTAAAGAAGGGCATGCAATAGGCATATTTAGCTCTTGCATAATGTATGTTTAATTTTTATATCGAACACTTACTTTACTTCCAATAAAAGACGTTACACATAGAAATGTAAAAAAAAAATTAGAAGTTTTGTTCTTACCCTATTTCCAATAAATGACGTTACAGTATACAGAAATGGGTTTAAAGCTGAATTAACTGGTAATATAAATACTGCTGTCCATGCATAAACTTCACTATTAATTACCATACCATTAAGTGCCATTAAACCTTTTTCATGAAATACGAAAAAATTCAAACGGTAAATACTAAGTTTTCTATGTGTATGTAATATTATGAAATAAACGTTCGGCGATATTGTCATTAAAGCTTACACATTTACTGTGCTCTAAGAATCATAAAATGTTTAAGACCAAAGACTAAAAATCTTACCCATACAACAAATAGGAAACCAACAGATAAAATTACTGATGACGATAATGGAAAGTTTTTTAGCAACTTGTACATCTCTGGATCGTCTTCCTTTGTTTTGTACAATTGAACTTGATTTAACAATAGCTCTGTACATAAAGAGCTGACCCAGACATATTAATGCAAAGGTAAGGAAGTTGAAGAAGATAAATATTCCAGTAGAAAATTGCCATCCTGGTGTACGTTCGCTTGTTAATGGTAACGCTAAGCATATTCCTTAAATATCAATATAAACAAAGGAGTTAGATAGTATTTTAGTAAATATTGCATTAGTTTTTATAAATGTTTGCTAAAATTATCCTTGGAGGTTACTTGGTCTCGTTAAGGTATTAATGCATATTCTTTTCTCTTGTATGCAAAAATAAAATTCATAAAACATATACATTTTAGGTAGTCCATGCATTGATAAGTTTGGATTTTTGGTGTGTTACTGTAATCATTCATGGAAAGGGTGACTTTTTTAACCCACCTGTTCGACTGTAAAGTCTTCCAGTAAATCCAGTTCCAGGAAGAATGGGAACTAAGGCTGCAATTATGGCAAAACACCAAATACAGCATGATGCTATCCATGACGCTAGTCTGCTTATCCTGAATTGACCAAACGGATACCTGATTATCAAATAACGATCTAGGGTGATCAAGCAAAGGAAAAGTGCCGACGCTTCACTTGATATAGTAGCCAATGCCCCAGCAAACTGACAATATGGACTGTTCCTCCACCATTTATCATTCCAAATATACCGCCCACGGAACATTATATCGGCGCCAGCAATGATAGCCATATAAATACCCATAAGGAAATCAGATATGCCTAGATTTGTTACAAACAAACCATAACCACGTTTGAACCCATCTCTATCATATATTAATCGATACAGAATGACGAAAAAGTTACCAAACAGAGCCATTAGTCCTAAAATCCACATGAAAACCCGCAATTCTTCTCTCCGCATCAAATCGTCACAAGAAGAGAATTCGCCTGCCTCGGGAAGACACTCTCTCACTGACTCTGGTTTTAAACAGCAAAATATAAAATAATCTGTGTACAAATTTTCTAATTTGGATAACCCCAAAAAGAAGCTTCCCGAAAAATCTTCAATATTTTGATTTCTCAGATCTAATCGTCTGACGTTTTTCAAAGATTTAAATGTTCCATCTTCCACTACCCTTAGGGTTCCCGAAGATATGGTTAAATTCTGAAGATAGTCCATGCCTTGAAAAGTATCCACGACTAACTGCTCAATTTCTGTGTTCACTAAGCTTAATGCAGTAAGAGAATGCAGTTGTGCAAATGCACCAGCCTCTAATTTATGAAGAACATTATTTCCGATGAGATTTAATGATTTCAACTGCTGTAATCCGTGAAATACTCCTTTACCAAGGATCTTAATTCTGTTATAACTCAAGTCTAAGACATATAAGTTAACCTGACGTATGAACATCCCCTGGGGAATAGATTTAAGTTCGGTGTAGGATAGATGAAGTTCTCCTAATAAAGCAAACCTTTCTAAATCCAAATTTTGCCAATCGAGTGGACTGTAATTTAAGTTCAGGTAGTTGGTATCATGGGACAACTGTTTGATTTTTTCTGCTACACCATTTCCGCGACAAATGACGTGACCAACTGTGCACGTACATGCGTCTGGGCAAGGGAAATCACAGAGTATTTCATCATCGCCATTTGGACAGTTCTTAACGTTATCACAGATTTGAGAAGCATCAACACATGTATAAGATCTCTCGCATCTCAAAAAGCCTGGGCATGAAAAATTATCTGTGAAAATAGAAAACGTAAATACACTGTATTATTCTTTAAATTTCGTGTTTTACGGAGAACAAGCATAATTATTACTTTTCAATTTGAAATGAAATGAAATGGAATTTAACGTCTTACTTTTCTTTTCCATCGGGGATAATGAAGACGGGCATACGCCATGCAGTGAGTGTGCTATGAGGGTAATTTGGCCCGGGCAGCGGCGCTACGGCCTACTCTTATACTGTCTGTAGTTCTTTTACGTACACACGAATGTGTTTTTCGTCCCATCCCAACGACTATACACTGTCCCAGCTAAGTCCCCCGCTCTGCACCGCTGACAAGGGGAATCTCGCCGGAAAAATCCCGATGCACTTTCTCGGCCAACACCAGGACCGAACACAGGACCGAACACGTGACCTCCAGGTTAGAGAACCAACGTCTTACTCACGGAGGAATAAATTTTGATACTATAGAGAAAATTTAAAGTAAATATTAATATACGTACCACAGTTAATTTCATCTTGATTATGTAAACAATCTGATTTACCATCGCATACCAATGAAATATGTATGCAATAACTCTTACTGCATTTATAATAACCATCAGGACACGTAAAGTTTTCTGTTAATAATAAATATAATGGACAGTTTAGATATGTCTATAGAAATTGGTTTTCACGACGTGCTGATGTTTTTTTTTATTTCTTTCTAATTATTGATGCCGCAACTCGACAAAGATGTGAATTCTGACTTGTAGCAGTCTAACGACTTTTAATCTAAAAATAAATGAACAGAACGTCGAAAAATATATTATAATTAAAATCTGTAATTGACGAAGTAATTTACCACAGTCTTCCAGGTGAGTAAAACCCCGACATCCTTTAAAGTGACCAAATCCGTCTGGAGCAAGTAAACATTTCTGTGATTGTGATATAATATTCTTGTTTTCACACAGAATTCCCTCTGGTTGTCTTTTTTCTGTGTATTAAGATTTACAACAATAAACAACAACAATGAAGCGCTATAACTCAAATCCAGTTACTCAGTGTGGATAATGATAGACTATATATATATATCTATATATCTTTCCTTGTGGGTCACTTTTTGCCACACTTCGGGCGCTATTGAACAAAAAAACACGCTGTGATGGGTGATAAGTAGTGCCCACGGTCTGTGCTAGAAACATTCTGAATTTCGATCGGATTTTACTTATGCCCCAAATGGTCAACAGGGCCCTACTGTTCTGCTCCGACTGGGCTAATGAAAACTGCTATACTATTTATATCGTCTGCCGAACATGCCGAATGTTGATATTTGCAAATACTGAATGGAATTAAACCATAAAAAAAGACATTGTCACTTTAAATTTCTTTGAATCGCTCCGCCAATCGCGATCCGAAAGCTCTTTTCCCACTGCTCCGACTGGGCTAATGAAAACTGCTATACTATTTATATCGTCTGCCGAACATGCCGAATGTTGATATTTGCAAATACTGAATGGAATTAAACCATAAAAAAAGACATTGTCACTTTAAATTTCTTTGAATCGCTCCGCCAATCGCGATCCGAAAGCTCTTTTCCCACTGTGAACAATCACGCCCGTGTTGCGAAATTCCTTTATGGGTAGGGGAGAGAGGGTGTAAATTCTAAATTTCAATAGTTATATTCAATATGACCCATGATCAATCCCTGTGAATTTAAAATTAAACATCTGTAGCGTGATCACACGGAATTGTAGACCGACAATGAAATAACGTACGCCGGCCAACCCAACAGTGACAACAACACCTTAAATACGAGCGCATAAAAATGTAATTTTAAAGTACCTTCTTTACAAACAAGAGGGCCAAGTGTTACCCTCGTGTTTGCTAATCCGGCGTTCTGAAAAAAAGCCATTGTCAATGGCCAAGCTATATATCCGTCATCTGCTAGCCAGTCGTGTTCTCCAACGCCGTACCATGAAGACAGGGGGCGGGCACAAACACAACTGCGTAAAAAAAAGAGGTCTCATTAAAGCTTCAACATGGCAAATACCTTTAGTAAATTGATCGATTTCGCAAAAAATTGAAATCGCCCATGACTTACGATAATTTAAAGTTTACCATGTCTTCTATTGATATGTTTGGGGGGGGGGGGGGTCATCTATTTCGTCCAAGCAATTTATTCTTTATGTATACTCTTTATAATAACTGCAGTCTTTACATTAAAATAATACATGTTTTGCCTTTAAAAATCCACATTCTCAGCAAAATAAACTATGAACAGCAAACAGTAGACTAACTTAAAGACACATTTTGCAAAAGATAAAACTGTCTATGCTGGTCTTTTGTTTGGCAACAAATGATATATAGGTAGCCGCGGATGCGCTGGTTCGCTAACCTAGTTGTCTGGGGTTCGCTCCCGGTGTTGGCCGTCTTCTTTGGTCCAGTCGGTGCAGAAAGGTCTATGATCAACTCTCTTGGCCACTGGATGGTCGAGATGTTAAATGGGTTAGAACATCAGCGCCATATAATCGGATAACGTTAAAAAGATCGTAATACTCAGTAAAAGGACTGACAAACCAGATTTTATTTATTATTATGACAACTTTGTCAAATCTTCAAACACTCATAACTTCGTTCAGAATAAAGTAATTTGACTTAAATTTTTCATTTATTAATATTTCATTATTTATTTGTGAACTAGTATAGCAAGAGTGGTCAGCTCTTTACATATGAAACCAATATATTCCTATTCAGCTAACACAATTTTCTTTTGTCGTAATCTGTATGTTTGCTTAAAGTAGTCCTTTGGACTGGTCAGGGTTAATACGACCCTCTGACAATTGCCAGTTTACAAACGATATTGACCAATTTAAGATGGTGGGTTTTCCAATTCAGTTTCGTTTTGCTTTGTTTTGTATTCCGTATTTTATAGCAGTCAAAAGGGTCATATATAAGGATACGTGCAAGGACGAAACAGAAGCATTATTTTATGTTTCTGGTTATAGGTTCATACTTTTCTGCACCGACCGGAATAACGAAGATGTACATATGCCACGCAGTGTGCTATGATGCAAAGTTTGCTTGGACAGCAACGCCAATATGTACATGGGACATAGGTTTTATTCCCACCCGAAAGACTAGACTCAAGATACGAGGAACTTCTCAAACCCGGGACCTCCAGATTGTCGAGCCAGTACCTCACACACTGGGCCATCATTACTGCCAAGTCGTAAACAAACTAATATAAAACTATGTAATTCGTCACTTACTCGCTGTCGCCATCATCGCAGTTGTCTGACAACACACATGAACAGTTGTTTCTCTTAAAATCATTTAAATTATGAAGTGCGTGTAGTTCTGGTCCAATGATAAGTGTTTGTAAACTATCCATATAATTACATCCGATTTTCAGGGCCTGTTCACAATTCAAATAAATGTTATTGATTAAATTAATGTCCATCTTGAAGTCGGTTATTGTAGCATACGTGCTTTGACTGACTATTGACATCCCCTCTTTAGAATGGTGAAAAATATTTAATACATGGTTTTCATCACTAAAATCACAAGCTACGTCATAAGTCACATCATAGGCTACCGGTTCTGTCAAGTCTGGCTTTACAGATTGCGTTACCGTATACGTTCCAGTCTTCCTATACCCATTTTTATAATAATCTAAACATGAAGTAAACTTTCTACTGGAACATCCCAAGATCTCATCTTCTCCTGTATTACCCTGGCAATCAATCTGGCCATCACAGACCCATGATTTAGGTATACACGAACCTGCATAGCATTGAAATGAGTCAGTGGAACATCCATCTGCAAAAAATTATATCAGAGCTTTAAAATACATGGTGGCCTTACTTCTAAAGGTACGAAACCGGTAAACACGAAGTAACCAAAAATAATATCAAACCTTTAGACACTTGTTATAATTCTAAAGGTAGAATAAGCCAGTAAACATGGTGTTGCAAATAATAATATCAGAGCTTTAAAACACACAGGGAAAGGTACGAAAAGTCAACAACAAGTCTGTAGCTATTTTGAAGCACCTTTCTCATCCACCGCGATATATCGTATATGAAAAAAGACAAACCACAACTTTCTTCATCAGACTCATCTCTACAGTTGGCCACCATATTACATCTTTTATTTTCTTTTATACATTCTTTATTTTTACACTGCCATTCTTCTGATGTACAGTTTCTAGGCACTATATAATTAAAGAGGTATTATATAAGATTAAGGTAAAGAGCTGGCTGTTCTCGCTAAAATAGTTCAAAAATAGATAATGCAAAATGAATATTGAAATTTTCATTACCGAGCGAAATTATC